CTTATCGTGTTATCGGTGCTGCATATATGCTGAAAAAAGTGAAAAAACAGCATAAATTCCCTAAAAGTGACCCGATCATGCTGATTTTCGAACTTGACCTGCGTATTATGAATATTCATCAGTTCTGCAAGTTTCAAGTCAAAAGGTAAAATGGTTTTCCACTTATCGTGTTATCGGTAAAAGTGCACGGCGACGATGGCGATGGCGACGACGGCGACGACAGACGCAGATGACAGCTATATGTACAGACACATCTGTGTCTGTACATAAAAAGTTCAACTGTGGTGGCATTTTAAAAGTTGGAGAGAAATATTTGAATATGGCAGTGATAGTATTTGCTGTCCTTTTCTCTCTCTCTCTCTCTTCTTCACCAATAGATTCGAAGTTTTTTTTAGATGATATGTCTTAAATCAATCTTTTGGCCAAAAAGGTGCATATTTGGGGAATTCATCTATCATCTACAAAAAAACTACCCACACTTCTATTTAGCCACATTCATGTCTCATTCATGTCTGTCTTTCTGCCTGTAAGTTTACCTGTGGGGAAGTTGTGTGTCTCTGCAGTGAGTAAGATGTGTCTGGTTATATCATCTTTGGCTACAAATCTGCTGGGTACACTGGTTTCTTCAGGGTACACAAGGTGCACTGGGAACCCCTTGATGGCACTGTTAACAGCAAAGAAAAGGTGAACTGTTATGAGAGTACAAACAGTAAATAGTAAGTGCACATATGTCTTCAACAGTTTTAAGTACAGGAACTGACAAAATGTTCCTGATGTATGTATAAATATAAATTAATTTTCAATTTGTATAAAAATACATTAAAAAATACCGTTATCCAGCATATATCATAGCATGTTTGTTCATAGATAAACATGCGCATCTTAAGTAATCACTTTGACAAAAAATAACTAAATTAAGTTAGCATTACTCAAGCATTATTTTATCTATTCATTTATTTTGTATACAGTAACATATAATATGAAATGATGCAAAAAAAAAATAAAAAAACCAAAAAACAAGTAAACAAGTTAAGTACAATATTATTATTGGTTGTGACAGGTGCATTTAAAAAATGAAATCAAACAATATGAGTCTGCAAAATAAAAAAAAAAATAATAATAATAACAATAAATGCATTACTGACCTGCTGTTGTCATTAAACTTGATGACATTGTTAGGGTTGGACTGATCTTGTGTCTTCATAATCATGGAGAACAGAGAGTCAGGACATTCCTGGCCATCAACCACAATTCTGCCCTTGAAGAACCAGTGACGGCAGTGCTCACTGCAACACAGATTAACATGTAATTACTGGACACTCTGTCTTACAATCAGCTGAACAAATATATCAGACATGAGCCTAGGTTTAAAAAAAAAGCCTCTGAACAGATTTTTTGCAGATCTACCGGTAGACGAATCTCAGGAACCATCAGAATTTAATTAAAAAACGTTCCGCGTTTCCGCAGAAAAAGCTCATGTCCGATATATATGGTTTATTTACATTTACCAAAACCATAGAAATAACAATGAAAAGGTTTGTCAGTACCTCTGCAACAAAATAAGGCCAACATTTGTGTGAGATAATGAACCAGAAATAGTTTACAAAGCACAAGAAAATGTTGTACTTGTGTCAGAGTGGAAGATTATGACTTATTTTACATTCAATGGTTTAAAAAATCCAATTATAAAGTAATACAATTCTAAGGCTTATATGTTAACATCTCTATGCTTCTAGTCTAATCTAGTTTACCTGTTTGATTGAGCCAAGTCAAAGCATTCTACATTGGTGGGGTTACGTTTTACTTCTTCTTTGAACAATTTAGTATAATAGTCCAGGTCCCAGGCATCAAAGGCAAGACCTGCAGAAACACTACTAACAATAGAGTCAATATCTACTGTATCATATTGGTCCTACAGAGTTAGATTGACTCAACTTGGCTGGAAACATGACCATAGTCTCTTGCCAAATATCAATAGACTATATGCAATAAATCAAAAATTTTAAATAGGCATGCAATGCAGTACTTCATACAGCTAAAAATTAAAATTTCCTAGAAATTTTTGCTCTTTTTTGTTAATCACCAATTATACCATATCCCAAACTGTTCACAGATTTTTTATCCATACACTACAGTTTCAAGAACTAAGATTCTTCTTTACGAGTCTCTCTCATAATGGAGTTGGAGTCAGGTGAAATAACTTGTGACAGTGAAAAATTTAAGAGCTGGTTTATAGTACAAAATTTCCTCAGTCAATGGTTATGGTTAGGGTATACCATAGTGACTAGTAGGGAGAATTTCTAATATTCCCAATTTATTAACTATGCACTTTACTGACAAAAATCAAGGAAAATGTTATCCAACCCATCTGTCCATCCTAGACCATTATTGCAATAAAGTGTAACTTTGGAGATTGACAGACCTTTCATTAAGAATGTGCATGTCCATAATTTTAATACACCTGGCTGTAGGGCTGCATCGAGGGGGGGGAGGGGGAATCTACTTTTTAAATAATTTTAAGTTGATACTTTTAAATATCCATGTGTAAAGACAGCTTTCCTTTATTGCTGACATGACATTAATTTTATTTTCAATTTCTATAACCAAATCACAGGCAATGGCATGGCTATCTAGGGAATGGGGTCCCTGGGAGTAAGCTACTCTTCACAGCCTGGCAATGTGCAGAGATGTGCAATGGCTACCCACAGGCACCACCTAGTTACTTTTAGTTTTGCTATATAAAACTGCACCATGCAGTGTGTGCCTTGAATAACAATTTGTCTCACACAGTGCCCTACCTAAATCTGAATTAACTTTTTCTAATGCTGCTCGGCCTTCTCCAATGACATCCACTTCATATACTGTCTCTGGCTTAACCTGTGCATTTAATGTAATATTTATGCCATAAATCAATCCTAAAATCATCAGAAATGATGAGCAAAGAATTTATTGCAGTTCAGTATCAGTAAACAATTAATGCACAAACATAGTTTCAATGATATTGTTCTGCAGGAAAATGTGTTCTTTGTCCTAATTTAATTATGTGCAATTAGTCATGACTATACTACATAGACACAAACATTCACCCTGGATCAGCATGCAGAAAAAAAATTGAAAAAGAGACATTTGCAAAAAAGAAAGAAAAGTATATAAAACAAATTCTAGGAAAAAGCAATTAATACCTGCAAATCAAAACAGCTGATTGGTGATAAATACCGACACTGTGTCATAGGGTCATGAAGTCCTTCCACCAGGGTACTTTCCACATCTGCTGTTTTTAGGGGGGTGTCACCACCAGCTTTAGATGTGTCAATTTTGATGTAATATCTTGTTGAGTATTCTATACGTGTGATGTCTGTCAGTCCCACCGAGTGGCACATTGATACAGCATTGGTAGAGAAAGCTGTAGAGAAATTCAACCTGGAATATTAATAAATTTCCTCTGTGTAATTATCTAAAAACATGTTTGAAACAAAATAATTTTGAACACTGCCAACTGCTCCAGCTTTGCCATCTGCAATAAATGCCATTTTCTTGCATGGTTTTTGAGAGTATGCCCGATATATTTAAATAAATACCATATATACTACAAGGGTATACATAGAAATCAAGACCTTATCTCAATAAATATTTCCCACGTCTTGAAAATGTGATGGCTAATATCATCATTTTAATAATTATCTTCATATTGTTCATATCATATATTATTTGCACATTCTATTGTTGGGTCATGGTCATTGTAAAAATAAATGCATCAGTACCAAAATAAATCAAGACACAAATAACAAACTAACGTAACACGTACTAGTGCTTTATACCAGCCCTACCTTGGTCCTATCTCAATAAGAAATTCTCCCTCTGTGTCATGGATATCTGGCAGATAGCTCAAGGAGGCCAGCTTATCTTGCTCAAATGGGGTAGACAGTATCCATTCTAACTTTGCTCTGTCTGCCTTGGTCAAAACTGAAAATAATTAGAAAATATTTTAAACATTATAAACTATTCTGAGTCAACAGCTGAAACTCAAATAGAAAGAATTTTCAATCAGTTAATAATTGATAAACCTAATAATTATTTAATATAGTAAACCTCTTAGATAATCAGATAGGCTGTAATTTTTGGAAAAAAATTCCACATAAAATAAATTTTATAAATATTTTAAAAACTTAAATACAAAAGTTTCAATCTGTATCAATAAAAACAATAATAAACCTCTTAATATAAATAAAAAACAAATAAATCAGAAAGGTTATTTATTATACTACAGTGCATATATTCCCTACCCTTTTCATCTACAACTTCCACATACAGACAAAACTCGGTCTTCACAGAGTCCAGTGAGACCGCTGGCAGTAGAGAGGACACTTTCTTGGTTGCACTGACATCATCGCCGCTCTGGCAGGGAGTACGATAAAATCGCAGGACTGGCATCTGAAATAATGTTTTGTTTTATATCTGTCCACCAAGACATTCCTGTTTCTTTAAGGCCTGATAGAAATAACATTACGTTATGCGTTATGTTCCAGCAATAAACAGTTAAAACCTGTGGTAATGACAAAGCAATCATTTCAGGTTCCCTTGTCTTCTATTTTGTGAAAATATCATGTAAGGCCGAAAACTGAGACAAAATAAAGTGGCTTTCACGTGGCTTGCAATGCGACCCTCTTTAATTTACTAAACAGACGCACTCGGTGACCTTAGTCGCCGGGTCCTATGTCGGCTACAAAATTATAAACAAACTTTTAAAAGATTAAAAAGATTAAGTCGGTTAAGGTTCTAGTGCTTAAATGGCACCTTACCTTGTTGAAAAAATCGCAGCTTTCCTGTATATGTTTTGATTTGCGCAGTGCATTTATCACGCTACATGAAAACAAATCAGTCTGAACGCACGTGTTCCGGTTTAGTACGCATGTGCATTGATAACAAGTAACAAGGGCCGGGGGAGGGGTATCGTGTGTGTGGAGAGGAGGAATGACTGCCCATCATTCTGTTCAATTTATGTATGTTTTTAGATTTAAAGGGGAGGGGGGGGGGGGTGNTGGTACGATGTCTTCAACACCAAGCAGTCGTATTACATTCATGGCGTCAGTGTCAAGGTCTTCATGATGGACGATAACATCGTACATTACATGGCACGGCAAACAGAAGTCTTGGACCAATGCCCAGTGGCTATTTGTTGCTTTCTTATCCACTATAAACCGAAGAAAATCTGCGAACCCAATTTTATGTTCAATGTGTTTTTGGTAATGTTTGTTCAGATACAGTTTTATCTGTGGACCTAGCAGACCCAGCACTTGATCCTTGTACGCTGATATAATCCTTTCCATTGGGTGACGCACGACCAGAACTTTGAGATACGTCGCTAATCTCTTCTTGATGTTAATATCATCGTAAGAATCCAGTCGGGTATACGCGAAACCATCTGGTCGACGATTGAAAATATCTTGATTACCAGAAATATTAAGATGCCCAGAGATAACCTGATACACAAGTCGCCAGTTGCGACTTGCTGCTTTGAACAGTGGACATAAGATAAACTTGTTACGATCATCTACAAGAATCCATCTTCTACGTTCAAGACGACCTGAGGGTGCCTTTTTGAGACTGCGGCATCTGTCTTGTATCATGTGGTTCCTTTTGTTTATGATGGAAACCCACTCTCCCGAAACATTTTGCCAGTTAAAGTTCTGAAAAAAATCAAAGAGAGCGCCATTTCAGCCATTTCTTTGTCAGCACGAGAAACCTATGCCAACATGTATAGATTATTTGAATTTCAAAACACATCAAATGGAAGATGACATTAAAAATTGAAAAAAGGCACAGTTAAAACATTTAAAGACAGCCGGAATAACTACGTATGTACACATATATAGGCAGTGTAAATATTTTTTTATTTTAAAACCCGCTGGTCAGGTCAATGTAATATTACCACTTTACTAAGAGTTCATGTTTATTGAGTTATATTTCTATCGACAATAAAGAATTGCCAATTAATTAGTCTCTCAGTGACAGACATCTCCGTACAAATAATATACCATATCAATTAAAGGGGTAACAGCTCATCATTTTAGTGCCAAAGTGCCATAAAACAGATTTTCTTGGGGTTAATGTCGATGTTCCCATAAGTACCAATGCTTTATGAATCCGTTCCGACATTGAATGTTAGTCGATTGTTTTTTTTTTCTTGTGTGTGTGTGTGTATGTGTGTGTGTTTTGTAATAGTCCTTTAAAAGATTACTACGGCGGGTAGCCATATATGAAGATCCACGTGGTCAAAGGGCAAGCACAGATTTCAGAATAATCGAGATAAGCGCCGTTTTTGGTGGTAAAATGGAATTTATTACATTTCTGTTGTTTAAAATGTATTTATTGTCGAACTTTGAATCTCATATTAAAAGAGTTGTTATCCCTTTAAATATTATAGAAATACCTCCCATATCCGTTGATCTATGGTATCACGCTCTGCGTGTGGAATATATGGACTACTGGTATGGTTTAGTGAATTTCCATGTTTTGCTGAAATAAGAGTACCCGCACGTGTATACAGATCAGTTGTAAAATTGTCAGTTATCAATTACCATCGTAGATTTTAATTTTTAAACATGGATATTCTTTAAATTAATAATTAAGGCAGCAAAGGTGTCAAATGTACAAATATAAAGCAGAGAATAATGATGACGACATAGGATATTTTGTCAATTTTGATGCAATATTACATAAGGCCCAAAGAAGTATTGTGCTTGTCGCCAGGTCAAGTTATACTATAGTTCGTCAACATATAGATTTTGCAAACCAGATCTGTTCTCCTTAATTAAAGAAACATGTAATAGCCACTGACAACGTTTAACGTTGAGCAACAAAATTTTACCGGGATTGCGCAAACTGCCAGAACATGAAAGACTGAAAAAAACAATTCAAATTTCTAGACTTGTCCTACGGGAGACTAAATGGTGATGATTGAAATGTACAAACTTTCAAGTGGATACAGCTGTTACAAAATTAATCAGACTCTACCAGGCTTTACCTAACAAGAGGGCACCATTCAAAAATAAAACACCTCAATATAGCGAAGAGAGCTGCTTAAATGTGCCTAACATCGTTATACTTCATATATGTAGGTACATGTAGGTATTATTTTATGGGAATAAGAAGCCTACACTTCTGAAATAAAATCTGAATTGCCCGGTGTTGCGTTCATGAAATCAGTTACTGAATTCACGGAACAATTATCTCTGGAACAACAAAAATAAATGGAAATGGTTTATGTCACATCCGCCCGTCATAATTACCTGTGAATATGATCGTCCACCAGTACAAGATGGCACCACATATCGTCAATCCAACAAGTATTCTGGCAGCTTTCATCAGTTGCGTAAATGTGTTCCTTGCCAGGACAGAAAAGGTAGTCCTGGAAACTGCCACGTTAAATAAAAACACTCTCTTCTACAACTTGCACAGATGGTTCTGTAAACATGCAATAAAGCAATTATACCTGCATATTTCAAGTACTATTTAAAGCAAGACTCTTTTAACTATTAATCGCCTGTAAAAGCAATCACTGGAAGACATGTGTGACAGATAATTAAAAAAAAAATTACATTTTTCATTTGAGGTTTAGGCATGATGACGAATTTGCCATGAGGCTCTGCTACTGGCCAGTGAATATTTATGCATATAAGGACTAGTTACATCACGAGTCGTCCGCTGTATTCGACACACAGGAGCGTAATTATGTGTATATCGAGGCGCAGCTGCTCTTGCCTGTCGCATACAGAGGACGCAGAGCAGTTGTAACCGATTTAATCAATTATCCCACGTACGACAAACACTTCGAACAATAAGATAATTGCACTTGCATTTCACTTACAAGCACGCCTGTATTTTCATACACTTCGGCGCGTTCATCCTATTTGTTGGAAGCGCAAGCCGTGGAATAAGTCAGTTACAGCTACCAGTTCAACAACAGTACCAGACATCAACTGCATGCGACATACAAGAGCAAATCATATCTCCTCGATTTAATTACTTGATATATACACGTGTGCGCGTGAAGGCATGGGAGCTACGCAATTCCGAGTCTGACAATCAAAATGTAACATAAAAATGTCATTCCGAAAGTGACAGGACTACTGATAAAAATGCTCCATTAATCAATGACAAAAGTAAAGAAATTACCATTCCCAATGAAGTTAAATTTGCAACATACTTTATTCTCAATTTGAAGCGATAACAAGGTTATCAGCCAGTTTTTCTCTCTCCATCTACATTCACCACCAATGGGTATTAAATGTAATATACAAAATCGTTTTTTACAACTATGACCAAATGTATTTAGCGATATAAAAATGAAAAGACAGGCTAATATATAAAACTGCAGCTTTTTCTACCTCTATAATTACAGGTAAGATGTGCAATTATGGGTTCAACCCAAGAAATAAAATCACGGATGATGCCAAGCAGTTCATCCATTTAAAATAAAGACTTTCAATCAAGATCATGATATTATCAAAATAATTTCAATAACAGTGTTCAGAATAATTTCAACAACTAAGTGTTTTTGCCTGAAGTCTATAAAGAAGACAGCTAATTGTAACTCCCTTTCTGGGCAATAGAACTGATAGTTGTTCCCATGGTGTTGCATACCACAAACATAATCTTTTGTCATGAATGTTTTGCACATCAGCCAGGGTGCCCAAGTTTGGTGAAAATAACAACCTTAATCATCAACACCTTTCTACCTTTTTCAAGATATAAGCTGATCAAAGAAATTTAGTATCAAATGAACTTTGAATCACATGGTGTTGAACATGAACTGGCACCATACAATACTCATTGTTTGTCATTCGCTATTTAAGTGACAAACAGTCAAGAAAATATGTTTGTGCATGAAACTGACCACCTTAACATTATTTTGGTCCTGACTATTACAACCACAAAGTTACAGAGATGAAAGCTCTAAGAGTTCCAAAGTTTTCTACACAAATACTAAAGACTCTATTAAAACCAGTGTGTTTCATTCGTATAAAACTGGATTGGACAATCTTTTGTTTTTCACTTTTATTCTAATAAAAGTAATATATCTGCCCATTGGTATTTTATGAAGATACCATCTCCCTAAATACATTTTAATTTATATATCTGTGTGTGTGTGTGTTTAATTGTGTGTGCAGGCATGGGAGCTGCCCAATTCCAATTCTTTGTGACTATCAAAATGTACTATAAAAGTGTCATTCTGGAAGTCATGGATATGAGAATTTCTTTAAACATGAAAAAGACGGAAATGAGTGACTTGGTGTCAGTAAAACGGAAACTTTAAGACCGTCACTTTGGAGGGGTTGGTGTTGTCCTTTTCTTTCCCTTCGAACTGGGCATGGATGACATGAGTGTTCGCTGCGATGGATGCCCCTGATTACCAGGCTGCTGTTTTAGCTGCTGTAACTGAAACTGTTGCAGTTGGGGTTGGTGTTTCTGTAAGAATTGCAACTGCTGCTGCTGTTGTTGTTGCTGCTGTTGTAACTGTTGTTGCTGTTGTGGTGTTAGTTGCATCAGTTGTTGTGCTGTTATGGTCTGTGGCTGGCCTCCTCCCCTTACTGCTGATGTCAACTGTGACAAAGCAGTCACTGCTGGAGTGGATGTGAGGTTAGAGGGGGATAACACACCTGAAAATTGGATAATAGCAATATATAATTTCACTTCTGTAACTTAAGAATAAAATTGCTAATTTGAACTTGATATTTCAACATTCATTTTTACTACCTATGCAAACTGGTGAGACTTGTAATATATATTTGACAGTTTAAGTTGTCTAATAAGTGTTAGTATCAGAAGTTATTTTTTTAAAATAATTATGAATACTTTCAAATTAGATGTTAATTAACTTTACAAACAGTACCAGTCTATTCTCTATGCATGCCTGCTTACCACTAGATCCTGCTGCTAGTGGAGATCCATTGCCCGATATTGTCCTTCCCACAGTGCCTTGCTGTAATGGCTGCACTTGGGTCCGCTGACCAGGAAGGTTGGTGCCGAGGATCTGGATGGGTTGCTGCCCTGGAATCTGGAAAACAAGAATAAGCGGTGCTGAAAATAAACATGAAAGGACTGGCACAGTTGTTTTTACTTCGTTATTTTGTACCATTTTTGAAACAGTCCCCTGGGTGTAAAGCCCTACCTGTAGCAATGACAACTGAGAGCCTGGTCTGATTTGTTGAGATGTTCCCTTGATTCCAGCAGCAGTCATGAACTGGGCCAGGTTCCCAGCCATGCCTATAGGAACAGACAGCATACCCTGGTTCAGGACTTGGGCAGTGTTGGTCAGAACATCTGGGGAAATGGAAACAAGCATTTATACCTTGATGATGTTGTAAAATCTAATTTGTATGCCTTAAGAAAAATGGTGGATTTACCAACATGAATAGCACTCGCAGCTCAGATTTCTCACTAGAAATGCCTATAAAACAGCTGTTCCTCTAGTACTTTCCAAATAATTATTTATAAAATTATGGACTTAAGCAAAAGCATGTAAACGTGTCCAAAAATAAGCAAAACATAAAAATTAAAACAAATTACAAGGACTAAACAAATAAAAGGCAAATCTTAACTTTTGTAAGCAAAATTAGATTTTTTTCTATAAATAGCAACAAAAATATTAAACATACTTAATCTCATAGGAGGTAGAATTCTTTTCCTACAGCATATGTTATAAATTCAAGTTATAGAGACAAGGACTACTCACTTGTTGTCATAACTATAGAGGATGGAGTGCCACTTGTAGCAGTGGTTGGAGCTGATGTTGTCTGGGGCATAGATGTTACCATGGTTACCAATGTAGTATTACCAGCCTAGGTAAAATGAAATAAAACACTACTACATGAATGATTAAGTTTTCAAAGATTCTAATTCGTTTTTTTTTTGTATATTTTAAATGCTGATCTTGCTTTAAACACTCTTTCAATTTTCATGACTTTCTGGAAGCTCCTTTACAAAGAAAAATGAACTTTGATCTCAATTTTAGAATATCATTCTTCTAAGCTTTGCAAAAAGAGCCTGGTACTGCCCTTACAAATAAGCTTAAAACAATTTTCTATGCTGACCCCCACCAGTAAATGATAGCTATAATCCTTAGACACAAATAAGGAAACATATTTATGATGGCCACAAAGGTTTTAAACTGAGAATCATTTCATCTCTAAACAGTCAGCCAGTCTGATATATCATCCTACACAGCTGACATACTTGTGTTGTGGTGGAGGAGGTTCCTGTATTGTTCCCTGCTGTGGAGATGCCCTGCAGACCAGCCACAGAGCTAAACACTATGCCAGCTGGTGTACTCAGTAACTGTGTGGACGGGTTGGTGCTGCTTATCATTGTGATAGGAACTGGGACAGCAATACCACCTCCTGGCATAGAAACACCTGTCAGAGATACCTGAAAGGAAAAAAAAGACAGATAACCGAAATAGGGATAGCAATACCTAACAAAAAAATATCAGATATTTGATACCGGGATGGCAATGCCAGCTTGTAGCAAAGAAATACCTGTCAAAGATACCTGGAAAAAATATCAGATAATTGATAAGTGCATGGTAATACTAGCTTTCAGCAAACAAACACCTGTCAAAAATACCTGGAAGGACAAAGATACCAGATAATTGATACTGAGGAAAAATGCCATGGACACCATGTTAACCTTTAACTGTTCTTTCACATGCTTGCCAAATTTAGCCTTCCATTTCTTTCCCCATCAATTGAGTTTTTAAAGTAAGTACTTAAACTATAACATTTAGAAATTTAGGCTCACTCTTTCCTTCTGCATAAATTACACATAATAATCTATAAGTCCACTTTGGCAATAAATAAATAAATAAATAATGATTGAAAAACATTTTGTCAACCTCAACATTCTGCCTCTCCCACACACAAACCTGCATATTCTGCAGTCCTTGTAGTCCCTGTATATTGGTCAGCCCCATACCCTGTAGATTGGCTAGGCTCTGTATGCTGATGTTCTGTGGAAGGCCAGCCACATTGGCAATGTTGATGTTTGGAGCAGATGCAGTGGGTGTGGGAGCTGAACTGCTCATTGCTGGGGCCTCAAGACCTGGGAATTGGAACATATATTAATGCATTGCATAAAACTATAATGAAACCCCCTGATGTTTAATATATTCATTTCAGTGAAAATCATGTCATCTAATAAAAGGAACTAGGAACATGACCTGCGATAAATTCTGCAAAAATGTATATGTCTATGAACACAAGCTTAGGGCATAAAATGCTCTGATCATTAAATGTAAGTTACTGTGCATCTGAGCACTGACCAGCTAGAGGCGTTGGTGTGGTGGGCGTGTCCACTGGAGTGGGAGGAGCAGAACCTGACGACTGGAGGCTGTTGCCTGTGGCTGAAATAGAACACAAGAACCAAGGTTAACTGGACAGGAAATGATGATGATCTGACATAAAGCAGTCACTATGATAAACTAGAGAGATATATATTTTAGAATAGCCTTAAAACATGGTAACAAAAGACTACAGGATATATTTCAATATATTTCAATACAGTATAGAAGTGCTCACCCTGCATGAAGTGTGCAATATTTGACCCCTGCTGGAAGGCCTGCAGAGTCATCTGTCCACTGAGACTGCCCCCACTATCCGTGAGAGATGAGCGCCTGGAGCTTGTGGAGTTAGGTGTGGGGGCTCGTCCTGTGGGAGGGGGAGGTGTGGGATTGGGCTCTCTTGATGACCCATGGCGCTCCCTGGTGGAGGAAATGTGGTGACCAGGCAAGGGGGCTGAAAGGATGAAAATGTACAATGAACATAGTTTGTAGTATAAAGATGGAATATGAAACATGATTTTCAGTTGTTAAAAAAGCAAATACCATTTTCACAAATATAATCTTATGCAAAATAAATCTACTTAAAACTTCTAACAACTGTATCAAATTCACAAATAAACATCCTCTTTTATAGAGATAAAATATTTTTAAGAACATTAACAATTTCATTGATAACCACTTATAAGTACACATTTAAATTTTCTACTACAAATTTTTGAGATTCACAAAAATAAATCTGTTTCTACAAACTGCTGACATAAAGATATCTTACCTGAAGCAGACGTCGGTGTAGACACTGGACTGGGTGTACTACTTGACCTAGAAATAAATTTTCAAGTTGCATGACTTACATATTAAATTTAACAAAGGTACCAATAAAAAAATACATCAAAATATGTGCTTTTGTCTTGAAAAAGTGAAAATTATCATTATCATTCTCACTTATTCTCATGTTTTATTTTTTTCTATCAAACTTAAAATCAAACCTGAAATGTTTCAGAGCTATACCATAACCGACATACAGTCTTTCAAGTATGTTAATTCACAAGCTTTACCTTGAAATATTGGAGTAGAGATTCATATGTTTTGGTCTATGGTTGCTGTTTGAAGTTTGCTGAAGGTTGCCAGGCTGGAGACCAACAGAATTTATACCTACTGGACCTGGAAGTATTAAGCAATGATCATTTAAACACCTGGAAGTCAAGTTGTTATGGTAAATATTTTATAAATTCGATGTATAACTAAATGAAATCAGGTTTTTGTACAGATCTGAAAACTCAATGGTAAACAACACTGATATGAAAACTTTTCATATGTCCAACCTTCAGCATCTTTATTCCTTATGAAAAAAGACGCCAAGTTTATAAAATAACTAACAATATGGAGGACGAACCTGTAGACTTATAAAATGACATCAACAATCTTTGACTTACTCTGCATTCCAGAGGGAGAACCCAGCAACCCAGCTGATGATATGGATCCTGGGGCATTGAGCTGTAGAGACAGTTTCATTGGCTGTTTAGTGCTGCCATCTGTTGATTGACTAGGGTCAGCCTATTAGACAGAATATAAGTGGTTATCAATGAAATTGTTAATGTATTAATACCTGAAAGTATTGATCTCTGAGAATAAAATTTTAATATGAATAAGTGAAGAATAATAATTCATAGTCAGTTCTATCTCAACAAGTACACTGTTTGAGACAAACAGGCTAAATGTGTCAAAATAACAGTAAATACTAAAAATTCCTGACAAACATGAGGTTAGCCCAGTATTTTATCATTATTATAAAACTAGGGTTTTGCTCCAATCTCCAGCATTTAATTAACCAAAAGTTTTTTTCAGGACCACAGAAATATTCAAATATCATCTGATGCTAGGGTTCAGTAATTTGTGGCACTAAAGTGTACCTGGTGGTGACAAAGAACAGGTATCTTTAACTTTCTGAAGGTCACCAGACACTCTCACCTGCCCAAGGATGTTCTGTGCCAGAGACGTTGCCTGTGTCAACAACGCCTGTGTTGTAGTGGTGACACTGGACTGTCCTGATGACTGTGATGATGACTGGGTGAAGGTGACCTTGGGTTCTTGACCTGAGATGATGTGGGTGATCTTCACTGCTCTCCGTCCTTCTTCTGTGAAGATCTCTGTGAACTGGTGGATGTATCTACACAGAAATTAAAAATCCTTGGTTTTAAAGATATGAATAATATTGCTCACAACATGCTTTTGACTGCTTATACCCTAATTCTTAATTCTTAAACATTATCTATTTTGCCAAACACTGCATATCATTATCAGTGGTAAATCAATTTTTGTACATCTTTTCATCCATATGGTTAAAAAGTACATATCTGACTAAAGCAAAAACAAAATGCCAACATCCCAGAGGACAACATAAAATGACACAATTCCTCCTTACTTGTCTACATTGGCTTTTGTTCCCAAAGAAAACTTGCAGCAGCTAGCATTGTTCTGTCCCTCTGTAAAGTCTCGATCCACATAGAGTTCTCCCAAGTAAAAGTCATCACTCAGTCGCTGCTGGACCACAAGGCGGGCATAGTAAATCTTGCCCGGGGTTCTCTCCATCTCCATTATATATTCCTCCACTGTCACCTAGCAACAGGATATTTGACATAAATCTGAGATTATAAATGTAAGATTTCTCTACTTAAACGTGGCAAAAGGCCTGGTAATTCAAAAGTTGTTTTTTTTTTTTTAAAAACTTAACTTAGGAGTGGCAATCCTCACAATTTGTGTTACTATAAGTTACAACATATGCAAGGACACACAATGGCACCTGGTATTTACAGAAATAATTTCTTCACTCAATACAGTCATGCAATTAACACCTGCAAAATCTCTACATGACTGAAAAGCTCTCTGAATCTTATGCAGTGATGGCCGTTGGAAAGTAAGAGAACAATCTTTCCAGCCTGAAAAGACTTATGCATGAAATCAAGAAGTTGATTCTATGAAATTCAATACAATCAAGTGTTCCAACTTACAGGTGTGTTATCCAATGTTATTTTTGGCTTCTCTATGGACTTTGCTAATTTTTCCACCTATGAATCACAAGAAAGCAAAAGTGATCAAACACCACACATATGAATAAATAGCACTTTATAAATTTGATGTTCACTTACAGTTAGTTACTAACAATACTCTACATTGACTTGAGGTAAGTTTGTTTGGTCAAAACGTTGCAACATGCAGATATTAAAAAAAAAAAAAAACAGAGAGAATGACAGATGGACTGTAAGACAGAGACAGACAGACAAACTGACCAATGGGCAGACGGACAGACTTACCTCAAGTTGCTCTGGGGCAGCGAGATTCACAGGTCTCTGCCTCCAGGTATCAACACACTGAAAAGAATAAGAAAAAAAATACATAAACTTTATTCCAAAAAGTTTACAGGAAATAAGTTAACTTTCATTACCTATGCATCTAAAATGACAAGAGAAATCAAATCAGATCCCTTGAGGTAAGCATAATTTTTAAATTACTTTTATGTTTTTAATTCATTATCTCTTTGTTCATCAGTAGAAATGTGCAATAAAAACCAGTACATCCTCAAATATAACAAAGTCCAGCCATCATAAGCACCATGCTAACCCTTATTAACCAAAAGAAAAAAAAAGCTGTAACATCCACAATATTTTAGGAATCCACAATATCTTTGGGATCCAGATCTGTTTAGAATTAATGCACAACACATTCAATAATTCTCTCTGATAACAGTCTGTACATTGTAATTTAAAAAGATTGTAATTTTCAGAGCCTCACAGGGACAGACCAATATACTGTTCAATCAGAAAGGCTATGTATAAATTGGTGCCCAGTAGTAAAAAAAAAAAAAAAAAAAAAAAAAAAAAAATTCATTTTTGTGATGATGTTTTGCTCACATAAATGTTAAGTCCAGATTGACATATTAAATGGTGCTAACAAGAAATAGTCTCCATTAGACTCTGAAAATCGGGGCAAATAAGTTGACTCTTGAGATAAAAGTGAAAATTATTCTAGTAAGACATCTGACATGCAGAAAAAAGGAAAATTACACAATTTAAATGATCATTCACAATTTAATCATTCCTCAATCAATAACACAAAATTTGCTTTAGTAAAAAAAATTTTGCATTAAAAAAGTTTTTTTTAGCACCAATAAGATTATCAAGATTTTCATATTTGCTTTACACTCTTAAAATCTGAATAACTTCATAAATCTGTTTTTACATTTATATTCTTTACAAAGATATTTGCAATTAGATATTTTAAAAACTAACATTTACTTGCTTATGCCTAATTGAAGAAAATTTTTGCAACGACACTATCGGAAAGAAATAATTCTTCCACCATGCCACAACCTGTCTTCCACCAGGGTTTTCTACCTTACATCCTAAATCATTGTTGTTGTTGGATAAGTATGAGTTGCTTGCAAGTTAACCAAACAAGATTCCCAGATCAAAAAATGAGTTCAACTCAAAATCAACAGACTTTAAAAAGTCTTGAAACATGCATCATAGGCCCTATTCCCATAGACACCACCAGTCGATGTAGATCAATCTAACTCTGTAGGGGGTCTCACTGAGTGCAATCAGCTTAACTGAATGACACACTTCTTCCTGGCATTATGTAGAATACCAAAAAGCTCGTGATTATACCAGTACGCTGAAAACAAGAGGAGGTGTGTCAATCAATTAAGCTAATTGCACTCAGCAAGAGTCCAGGCAGAGTTGGATTGCTCTACATAGGGCAATGTGGTCTATGGGAATGGGGTCCTAAAGAATACATTTGCCAGTGTCCTTGTTGTAAACAGTGACATTCCACATCCATCTGGTCCCTACCCTGAGATTCAAAGGATTCTAGTGGAAACTATCCTTTTTAACCAGCAATTACTAGTCATTTTCAGCGTATAATCATTGGGAAAGTATTACTAGAATGTGAATCCCATGATGGTTGGTCCCAACTTGATTGTGAAAATTATGCATCAATCACATACATTTCCAAACAAAACCCAAATCATAGGGAAAGGAATATGGAGACAGATACATGTAAAAGTGAACCAACTGAAAAGATCACAGTACATATGTATATGTATATGTAAATGTACCATAGAATGGTGAGGTCCTGTGATTTTTTCCTGAAAATCAAAAGAAAAGCAAAATCTGTACTTCTCTGCTTGCTTTGGTTACTTCTCACATAATTCATAGTTTCACTCAAATACATATTTCCAGCAAAATATTCCAAATTATGATTATTATAACTGTCAAATATGCAACCTATTCAATTTCATTAAGTAATATCTCTCAGCCATTAAAGCAGCTTCTAAACAAAGAAGCTTATTTATTTACAGAGCTATATATAGAACAGCACTCATAGTGTGTATATGGCAATCTATACAAATCAAGAACCTCTAATTTTCCATTTCTATTATTCCTTCCATATAAATCCAAGTTCTTTTTCTCTCAGCTTTAAACCTGACACACACTGATAGAAATGAGATTACAGTTTGAGAAAGGTGGCATGTATGCCAGATCCTTAATTTGAGGGGCATTAGCAGTGAAGAGACAGAAAATCTGTATTTCCTAAGTTTCACAGTGCCAACTTTAACAAATACACATTAAAATCCATAATGGCTTATGTTATAAATCAAACAATATATTACTGATACTCACTGGTTTACCAACTTTCAGATTGACAGGAGGGTTACTGCGCAACTTGTCCTTCTTTTTATGAAGAAAGTCATACAATTTTAAACTAGATGGTGCTGGGCACTGGGCAAATTTCCTCTTCCTATTCACAGCTGTTTGGGAAAACTTTTTTACTGCTCTGAAGATATGAGAAAGCAAATAGTGAGCATATATGTTTACTTACTAATATTGATAAAAAATAATGGGTTAAGAATGCCTTCTATTAAACGTCATTAAAGATTCAATCTTGGTATATTCTAAGAAAGTTTGTAAAAAAAAATTCATCAAACTGTTCTCTTCATTTCAGCTTTCTCTGTTGCTTTAGGACAACAAATGACCTTTTTCAATATATGTCATCTTATTTATTAATTTAATACTATCATTATTATGTAAATAAGTTTTAAAATAAAACCACAAATTTTCTTGGCATTCAAAAATGTGCCACTATAAAGTTAAAGAGTAATTTTCATTTAAATGTATATATGCTATGAAATTAATTTATTGATAGACATATTCCACTGTATTTCCCTCTTAATCTCAAACACATTTTCTCTACAAACACCTTCTCATCTCTTTGTCTAATGAAAATTCATATTAAATGCAGTTACATCTCTTTTCTTCTATCTAATAATAATACTAATAATAAATATTCATTAACATTTTAAAATCCAAATAGCTTCATCAAACTTTACGATGCAAAATACAAGTTAAAGAAAGGGATATCTGAATAAAATAACTCAATATACAGTCAGTTGAAAAAGATGTGCCATTTTCACACTTGACTGGCCACAGGCCTACCTTTTTAAAGGTCTTGTGTTCATCTTATGTTTTTCATACTGTAGCCTGTTAGCCACAAGGCAGACAGAGAGGGAGGGGTCCAGGCACAGTGGCTCCTGTGTGGCCAGCAACAGCTGACTTTCCAGGTTAAACTTATCCTCCTGTGTCCAGCGGTGACCATCATTGGTTATGGTGTTAATATCACATAAGAGGGTCTAAACAGAAAATGAATCGATACTTTAAATACATATTATTATGGTGTTAATATCAGATAAGAGGGTTTGTGTGGAAAATGAATCAAAACTTTAAATACACATCATTAAGTTATAAATATCACCCAAGAGGGTCTGCACAAAAAATGCATTATTCAATCACAATGAATTTTTTTCTTTGAATCAATACTTTTTAATACATATTAATTATTATAGTAAGTAGCAATTATTTAAAAAAATTACTTAAAAAGGTATTTACAACTATTTCTTATCTAATATTTTTATTGCAAAAAAAAAAAAAGACACTTCACAAAAAAAGACACTTCAGACCCCAATTTTAGCAAATTTTACAAAAAAAGTTTTGCATGCACTGTAAGTTTGCCATAAAATACGTTTTTATCTTTCTATCAAAATCTATTTGAGCGACTAACTCCTAATTTATTACATTTTCCAGTATGACAATGGCTGTGCCTTTGACTTACTTGAGGAGTTGGTTTCAAAAGCACATATCTGGTATCAAATGTATTACTGGTGGTGCGTCTATAATCCCTGATCTCTGCTATAACACTTCCACTGTAGAAGATATTCACCTGAGACTTCTCAAGAAGATCAACCAAGATTGGGGGAAGCTGTAAAAATTTAATAATATTTAAATGATATCATTTGAAATAAGCTACTGAAATTAAGAAAAATTAACCATTTTCTTTATCTCTATCTTGGCACAGGAAAATGAAAAACTGAAAATATATTATTATTGAATCCCAGGTGGAAAATAGTAACTTCTAATATGAGTTTATCTTAAATTATGAATAGTATGATGGTCATCAGCCATTATACTTATCACATGATAAGTAGTCTTGCTGTGCCCTTTGTTTGTATAAAGCAATCTGGTGTTTTAAGTTTATCAATGAATGCTGTAAAAGAAAGCATTCATGAATGCATCTGAACATAGAATAAATTATAATATTATAATATCCACCATGCCCTGGTCTTGTACTAGCAAGTGTTTTTCAAGCTTTACTAACAAGTTTCACTTTCAGCTGTTGAAAGAATTCTAACAATACTACTTGAAACAATATTGCACGCATTTTTACATCTGTATCTTTTCCAACACTGGAAAACACTAAACTACTAATATAACCAAGGAAGAAACAGTCATACCTTACATCAAATTAGTACACTCACCTCTTCATTGTCAACATATTCTAACAACTCTGACTCCTGAAATAAAAGTTTTATTTTAGATGAAATCGATTAATTATGATTTGTATAGTATTTTATCTCAAAGCACTTTAAATTTAGGCCAATAATAATGCCACAAACATTCCCACAAAAATACAAAATAATTTTTCAAAACTGTATATATAAGTTTTTTTCAAATGTATACTATTTTTTACTATTGCCTCAGAAAATGTCAAATTTTCAATTGTTTCTGATAACTCTTGGCACTTATTTGTTGGTTCTCAATTGTTGACTAAAAATGAAATTAAATAACCTACGTAGTGTGAAAAAACAAAGACCTAGTAAAATATGTAAAAAAAACTTAAACAGGCAAAAGTAAATAATAACTACACTAACTTGTACAACATAGTGAACTGAAATGTCTTTATTGTCATATAATCAACTGTTATTGTCAGTAAACCATGAAACATCAAATCTAATATCTTGTTTTCCATACTATACATTCACAGCCTTACCTCATATGGCAGTTTCACAGACTCGGACTCTGTTCCATTTCTCCCCTTTAGCATCAATGAGTAGCCGTCATTCCCAGGATACAGGTTGATGATGAGGGTATTCAGTTTATCTCGGTATACTAGCTTATCTAGTAATTTGGAAGCTGGCATCAGGCCCTGTCAGGTAAGACAAATATAAAGCAAAGAAATCAACTATAAGATTATTCTGATAAAGGCATAACTTTAATGTTGTGTAGAAAGTTAGAGTTTAAAAGTTATGATCATAAGCTATAAGATTATAATCCAATCTAGTGAATCTTAATCAAACAAGATTATGTTTCTGATCAATCTCTTTAACAGGAAAATAAGCTAAAAATGACCTCCATAAAATAGGTGTAATAGGGTTAAACATTATTACGAAAGAATTCCCGCCCTTTTGGCAGTCAATGGTACCTGTTTAGTGTTAGTGTGATTCTAATCTGATACTGTTATGTGTGTGTGTGTGTGTGTGTGTGTGAGAGAGAGAGAGAGAGAGAGAGAGAGAGAGAGAGAGAGAGAGAGTACAACACAACCAAAATAAAAATACAACACTTCAGCATAATAAATCAACATGTTATCCCACAATACAACAAGAATCCAGCACATCACTACTTACAGGTATCCTGGGCTGTTTGCCACATTCTTCAATATACATATCAACAAGTCTTTCATGTATTGACTTCCTGGAAAATAAATACGGAAAATAAAACTTATCAATAGAAAAGTTATTTCATTTTCACTTTCTTAAAAGGATAACAACTGTTCATTTTGGCCAAAAAATGAATTTTCCTGGGGTTAACAACAATTTTCCCATACTAACCAATGATTAATAAATCCATTTCTACATTTTTTTCCAAAAAGTTTGTTTCTTGTAATAATCTCTTAAAAGATTTTTACAAAAAAAAAAAACAAACTTAAAGAGATAGTATAGCCATTTATGGTGGTCACATGGTCCGATGGCAAGCACAGATCTCAGAATAATTGCTCACACTGCCGTTTTTGTGGTAAAATAGAATATGTCATATTTCTATGAGATTTTTTACAATGTTTTCATTGTGAAATATAGATCTCATACAAACAGTTGTTATCCCATTTATCTGTTTATCTCCATTATTAACAATCAGAAACATGGTATAAAAATCTTGCTTAGACAATCCATAACAGTAGCATGATTTTTTTGCATTTTTGCTATGTAAGTAATAGTTTTAATTTTAGTCCCACTTATGAGCACTATGAACTCACCATTTGGGGTTTGAACTGGGCAGATTATTCTTTAGTTCTGAAGGCCTCTTTGCTGCAGTTTCTAACAAATACTAAAATAAATAAACAAGTGTTAATTACTTTAAATTATTTCCAAAGTTCAATTTTTTTCTTAAACAGTGGATACTACTTCTGAAAATAAAATGTCACATTACATCTTTGGCTATTTCTAAAAATACCTGTTACACACTGTATTGACTCAGACTGAAGTATATCATGGAACACATCTTACTTCTGTACAGATCAATTAACTTAAGTCCTTTGATACAGAAACTGCACTTCAGGTTATCTGTAAAATATATCATCATGGATATGTACATTCTATATATTTTTGACAATGCAATATACTTACATTGGCATTCTCTGCTTGTCTAAGAAACCTTGAACTCTGCATCTAATAAATAATAAGCAATAAGAAACTTTGACATAGACCTCACTCAGGTAAACATTTTAGATAAAATATATGGCATTAATGGCCCTCTATTTAGTCTCAGTTTATATCATTAAAAAATCAACAGTCAAGTTTTGACATTTAGTGATGATACCATGATAAACTGTATGCTGTGCTCAAGAATTAGGCTTCTGCACACTATACTTTATTTACAATCAACCAAATAAGACAAGATATACATAAAATGATACCCTTTTGCTCCAAGTCAGAAAGTGAATGGTGCACATCATCTACATGTCATAATGGTGATGGTTCTATTTGCAAGGCTCTGACCACAGTTATCTAACTAGCCATGACATGTAGTGATGTTTGGCAATAACGAGGCATTGTCTGTTCAACACCAGGCTATTAGTACTAGTAGTATTACTATTATTGGTTTTTAAAACGAAAATGAAAATGTCTGCATTCTCGTTCTATAAACAACGCGATCGCTATTCTGATGAACCCGTGACACACTCTGATTCACCACTAAGTAGTATCTAGAATTAGTACAGGGTATTAGAATTAATGCAGCTACCAAAAATGTCAAAGTTGATGTGGTAACTAACAATGTCGATGGCAATGGTAAACAGTCTCCTCAGACTTCACTCCTGTTTCCGTACCTACTGTACCAAATAAACCATCTTTATGCTCCCAAATTGTAAGAGTCTCTCATACCCTACCTTTCTTGATAAATAAACTTTCGCTATCAAAGCATCTTTGTACAAAATCTAAAATACATGATTCGCTAGTCGCAAATCCGGTTTAATCCTGCCGAAGTTCTGTGGAGGCAACCATATTGAACATCAGTGACACCTGTCGGCAGGAAACAGATAACAAGAAAGAATTTGATTGGATTACAATATGACCTCATTAAAAGGCAATTTACAAGAATCCGCGTTAAAGATGAAAGCGCATGTTCTACATTCAGCAAAGGAAGCTGATACAAAGACAGAAATATATATCAGAAAATGGTAATCGTAATTTTGTAGGTGTCTTAAGCCCTATACAAATTGACTGAGCAAAGTCTAAGATTGGCTTAAGAAAGATTGTAGTCAGTCACTGAATTTATAATTAACAAACGGCATGAATAAAACAAGAACCCCACTGTGGAGCCTTTGTGACGTCAAGGAAAACACAACGCACGTGCTACCAAATGTGTTTTTATGTTTTTTTCTCATTTTGAAATTTGTGAACCATTAATGTTCATACTCAGAAAAAGGCTTTGCTGGAACTTACTATATCACACGCTTTACAATTTTGTAAACAGTTTTCTTTTTTCGTTTTTAACTTTGAAGCGGGAATTATGAAGACGACCACGAGGGGAGAGCCATTGGATAGATATTTAGCAGAGCTTGGCTTGTGGAGAAAAAGTATAGCGAAGGACGGGTTCTCACTCTTCAGAGCTGTTTCTGAACAGGTACTACCAGAACATTTAGTTAATGAGTTGTGGCTTAGTTGTAAAGACTCACATAACCAGAGAACACGCGGTTTGAATACTGCGTGCTTATAGTGGATTTGTGTTAAGGCCAAGAGCACGTGCTTGCACCGCCAGACTAAACTAGACGAACATTGTAAAAGAACTAGCAATTGTAAATAGACAACAATTACTCCCTCCTTATGTCTGCAATTTCTAACATTTTTTTTAGGGGGGGGGGGGGCAGCAGTCATTCTTAAGTTAGTTTAAAAGTATCACCGAGCTAGGTTTAAATAAACATCACTTCACAACGACTGCAGATACTTCAGTTCCAAGTTTGGTATCATATATGTAAAATGACAGCTAACTGAAGAGAAAATTACATTTTTCAGAATTTTGTTTCAATGACAGTGAAACTGTCAACAATCAAGGGGATTTGCTGGTGTAGATATATACATGGATAGGGATGTAACTGAAATGGGTTCCACTAGAATTATACATTGAGAGATGTTGGGAGAATAGCTAATTCCTATGACAAAATTGCAGATTTGGTTCCTGTCCTTTTCCATAAGCGGGCTTAAATCAGGGGCGGATCCAGAGCTATTTTCTGAGTCTTCCAAATTATCTTTGTTGATCCATACTCCATTTTTGACCGTCTTCCAACAGAAAAATATAGATACCCATCAGTGTAAACTTGAATAGGCCTATCTGACCGTCTTCCTAAAGACCCAGAAGATGGCCTCAATCTGCCCTTGAAAATAATTTGCCCTCTTTTAATGTAATGTACATACCTTCTTGATATAATATTCCTTATATATGCCAGTATCAAGACTAGAATATGAATTTCATCATTAATTGTCTTTTTGTGATAAAAAAGTGAGGAGACAGGAAAAGAAGCAGACAAGCTTACCTTCTTCAGTTTTATATTATTACTAAAAATCCATGTGCAGTTAACTTAATCGGCTGTTGTAGAGATAACAAAGATGAGGGGAGGCACACTTCTCTATAATTAACCATATATATATATATTTTTTTTTTTTTTCGTTTTTTAATACTGGTCCTAGGGCAGTAGTGAAGTTTCCCCAAGCATGGATAGGTTTGCCTTTATTTTCTGCCAATAGACCTGATTTCAGTAAGCGATCCCAAATTTGTGATATTTGAAACCTGGCTCTGTCCCCATATCTCCAGATAGGTTCACTGGTGTTAATACAGTGCTAGTAGGCAATTCTTCCCTCACTTACATCAGACCAGGAAGGATCACTCTCCAGAAAATGGATAGATTATCAAGCAACTCCTTCAGTGATTTATCTTAGGTGGCATTTATCTTAAGTGTGTTATTGGTGGGTATTGTGAGTTCCATGATCTTAACGTTCATCACTGTTCTGTCTTGGTTTATTTTGGTACGGCTGGTATTCAATCAGAAGTTGGGTATGTATATGAATTTGGATATATTTCATTTACATGGTATCATAAGCATTTTTTCATTGTAGATTGTAGTCAGTTTTTTTTTTTGCCTTGTTTGTACATTGTCATTATGGGGTATCATTAGACAAGCAATGAATAGTAAGGGGCTTAATCAATTACATACATGTAGCACCAACTTGTTTTAAATTGTTCTAATTATCAACCTTAATTTTTCCATGTTAATATACAGCATGCATATAAGTGAGCTCTTGTATTTCCCGGGGAGTATTGCAAGCCTTTAAAGAATGAAATACTTGCAGATTGTCTGTTGACAGTATATGTGCAAAACAAAAATCAATACAAATCAACTTGCCTAGGTCTCTTTTTCTCTTAGGAGAGAAGGGTGGATTGGTAGCAGACAGCAATTTCTGTCAATGAATGTATGACCTTCATTGGCTGAATGACTGTAGGGAGAAGAGGATATTGTCAATGATTTGTGGTCTATTCCTTAGTGCAGGTCCATATGCCACCTTTTGTATAATGAAGAGATGAAATGGGTTGCTGTTGTTGATATGCTAGTATATGCCTGCTTTGTAATGTGATTGTTCCTTAGTTAACAACTAATCAGCTTTCTTCTGTTGTTAGTCATAACATGTTTTTTGAGACAACCTAACAAGATTTAAAGATTTTAATTCAAATAAATAAATAAATAAGTGGTATTTATCATTTATCATATGCAGCTAATCATAAATTTTCAGGTGGGGGAAGGGAGATAAGGAATTTTTGAAGTAATCACCAAAATCCATTGTACTGTATTAATTGTACCTCGATCTAGCATGCCTAGCAAATGGTTAAGGTTTGGTATAGCTTTTAAGTGATTAGTTCATCAAAAATTACCAAAGTGCATTTTAAGATGAGTGACAATTGCTTTTTTTACCTTTTCCTTTTTTTATTCAGCCGAGTTACGGTTTATCCATTGCGTGTACATTCTGGATAATTTCATTTAGAGATGACGCATTCTATATAGCTTATACTTTGTAGGTCTGCATTGATTTTTGCAAGCTGGGGAGCATTGTAGTATAGAGACATTTGTCTCTGGGTATCCACAGCAGGTTGCTTGCATTTATAAACACATCTGAAGAAAATGGCATATAGATTAGGAAGCATGAAGTAGTGATCTTCAGCAGTCATTGGTATTTGATTTCAGGAACAAGAAGAGGTCATTAGTTCATCAGTGTCTAAGAGAGCAAGATTTTTCACTAGGTGAGATTCTTTTACGAACCTAATTATATTTTCCATTGCAGTTGTTTCTTTCCCAAGTCTATCATGTCCAAGTCAGAGATGCGTGTGTCAAATACATGTCACAGTACCCGGCCAAATTTGAACATGTGAGTATTAAGATGTTTGTTTATATTAAAAAAACTGTTTCTATAAAAAATCCAAGTATGTTTATTCACTGACATAAAGCTATTTTTTATCAACCTGTTACATCATATGTTAAAAAATCTTATTCATTGCAACAGGTTTGCCAATTATCAAGATTCTATTTATTTACATCAAAGAAAATTGCTGATAGAAATATATTTTTATGCTATACGTTAATTGTGTTTATATTTTGTATGTTAAAGGAAAATTTACTGAAAATTTTATGGTCATAAACTACATAAATGTTTTTAATTCGATGCTTTGCACAAATTTTTCCTGAGAACCCTGTACGAGACATGTGATAACAGATTGACTGGATAAAAATACATTTTCTGAAAGCATAAACCTTTTCTTTAGAGAAATAGCTCTTTGCAAGTTGTGCATCTCTGAGTTGCAGTAGTTCTCCAATATGTTGTAATAGAAACTGCCCTATATTAGACACCTTGTCTTTGTAGCAGACAGTGCATATCTGCAGCAAAAATATATTATTGATTTTATTCTGATGTGATTCATGTTTAAGACTTCATGAGGATGTATTGGTACTTTAGTAATATCTGTGATCAGGAAGAGGATGTCTGTATCTGTTGTCACTGTGTAACAATTCAGCTACATTCAGTTACATCTTTATCTTTTTAAATTTTTTTAAATACGTTGTTAGACTTTGTTATAGGTAGGATATGTCACTTAGTCTACTGGTGCGCTGTGCCCACACACATACACACACTTTTATTAATTTATTTATTCAAGACAAAACTGTTTTTTTTTTATCTATCCGAGACGATGTACTTGATATATGGTACTGTGGTTACAGACAGTGTGCATTTAAAAATCTGGGGTTTGTGTTTTGCATCTTCTTGAAAACATAAATGTTTTTATATTTAATATTTTATTTCAAAGTTCAAGTATGTGTTTGTGGGAGAGGTGGTGCTTGAGGTGCTGGATAGGGGTAGGGTGTCATTTGTCTCAATTAATTAAGTTATGCATTTAACCTGGCAGCCTTGGAAATTAACTAAACATTATGACCAAGTCAGTCAGAATTAGGCCTTGTTGACGAATGATTTATTTTATCTTCTTGTGACATTTTTAGGCCTGCAGGTCCATGATAACTTAACAATCAGTGTAATGCAGAAAAAGAGCTCATAATTTTGATTCACATAAAGTCAGGCTTAATCCTGTTGTCTTTCCTATAGTTGTTGTAAGCTTGGGTTAGAAATAATAATAATCACATGTGGGGAGAAAGCCATCACAACTTGCTTGTAAACATGACCAAAAACAACCAAGTTTAGTAAAAATCCTCTTCCTTATTCTTACTGGTTACAACTAATATATCGCATTATTTTATATGTAAATTCCAGTTTATACAAGGGCCATATGAGAGTCATCTACGAGATTTAAATCAACCAAAGGTACGTAATGTAGTATGTGATTGTGAAAGATGAAATGAGTGCATTGAGATACCTGTTTGTGTTACAGTTGTTGACACGGTGACACTTTCAGTCACTCATCACGTGTGGTCCACCACTAAGTGGCTTAATTATGGTGAAACTATAAAGCCCTTCATTTCAGCAGTTGATTGTGTGCCACTGGGCATACTCTGCAGCTCATTTCAGTTGCATTTTGCAGGACATAACCCATCCATGATATCGGGGTAATGCATTTATGTATTATTTTTGATAGAATTATAAGTCTCAATTTATATGAAACACCCTAAAATATGCCATCATTCTGCTAATATATATTAAAGAACATTCTTTTGTATGTATCAGGTATTAAAGTCTCTCTGTTGCATCATGTCTGACAATTTATTCAGGCTTGAATATTTCAATTTACAATTAGATTTACAATTCAGAATGATCTGATATATCTCCTTAATATATTCACAACATTATAGCGCCACATTTATTTTATTCAGATGACAAAGATAATCAGTTGAACTGTAGAAAACCCTGTAAATTCTGTAAAGATTTTAGATTTTTATTGTGCATATCATGGTGAAAGTTAGTAGCATACTTTCAGTTTCACAATTCTTTGGGTCTGCAGATGTGCTGTGTTAAACTATAGATTATTTTATAGGAATGTGCTGGCCATGCTGAGATTTGTGCCCTGTCTTTAATTTACAAGTAAGTGTAGAAAATGAAAATATGTAGAAGTATGAGGATGAGATTCAACAGATGTTGTCATTTGATGGGGTAAAACTCGCTCAGCCACCAAGGAGTTGCATATGACTCCTTGCCGACAATCTTATTTCATTGAACTTTTATACTTTGCATTTAATTGGTGATTTGCTTGACATAGCATCTCACAACAATGAAAGCTAGATTTCCTTAATTCTGACATAACTAACAAAAAAGTTAATGTAGTTGTACCACCAGCGTTAGCGCTGGCGGTACACATGGTTTCGGTCCCGTCCGGATCGTTCCGCCGGCTCCGCCGGCTCCGCCGGCCCC